CCCCAAAACCCCAAAACCCCAAAACCCCAAAACCCCAAAACCCCAAAACCCCAAGCCTGTGAACACCTATTGAGGGTAGAGACTTAAGATTATTAAAATGTCATTAAAAAATTAAAGTGAGTTGTCATCCTCAGCCTTGGGATCTTCTACACAGCTGGTGAAAGGCCGTTTCTGACTACACTTGTTGGAATCTCTTGTATTCAGGTTATAATTCCTTTCAATGTTACTTGAAATCTTTTCAAACTCATCATCTGAAAGGATTCCAATGACTTCTCTGTTCTTAGGATTCTTACTTTGGTTCACCTCGCCATCTTCGAAGTGGAAGAAGTCTGAGCTAAATTTGAATCTGCTCTTTTTGGAAGATTTATTCATTGCATTTGAATAATAAGTGCTTGCTTGGTAGTTAGCCTTGTCGTCAGATCCATGGGGCATCTTGCTAATTGGACTCTTTTCACATGAGTTCACCTCAAGGATAGAGATTTTTCGATCGTTAGCTACTCCACTAATCTCAGTAGAAGCTTTTATCGAGTTCTCAATTTTCCTGTCTCTAATGTATGAAGAATCATCAGGTTCGCTTTCGCTCTGTTGTAGAAGTTGAGTATGATTCCCTTCGCTTGACTCATCATCAAGGCCTGAATCTGAGTACCTCCTATTTTGCTTGGTTTCTTTTGAGAGGTTAAGGGAATCTTCAATTTTGTAAAAGAGTGGTTCTTTTAGCTCTTCATCGACTTCCTCTTTCTTTGACTTTTTTGTGCTTTTCTTCTTAGGAGGTCAATTTTTCTTTGTTGTACCCGGAAACTTTCTCCTTGTAATGCCTCTGTTAATGACAGCACTGGTGTATTTAATTGGCTTAAGCTTTGGAGGCATTGGATTTTTAGGTAATCCAGGTTTTCGAGTAGCAACCTTATCCGGTTCCCAGTATATTCCAGGAACTTTAGGAGGACTCATGAAATCTAAAAGGAAAGTTAGAGATGATACTCTTTGAACTTCTGGCGGCAAAGCAAGGTTTAAATAAAGAGCAACGTGTTTGGCACTTACTACCTCTATTTGGCTTTTGACCAGGACTTATGGTGCTAAATTGGTTTCTATTTTTATTGAGGTTCATTCCAACTGCTTCAATAGGATTGATGGTATTATTAAGATCATTTTTAAATCCATTTCGACTCCCAATGCCATTGTTTTTCCTAACTCCCATGATTGTCTGATTTCTGGCAGGTCCTCTTCCTTGGTTTATGAGTGGTAAACCCTTTTTAGTTGGTAACGGTGATTTCATTCTATTTCTATTAGGATCTTTTATTCTTGAAATAGTCCCCAAAGCTCTTTGTCCAGGACCGATCATTGGAGATTTTGTTTTGCGAGTAGCATTGAAAGGGCTCAAGGCCCTGCCTCAAAGTCTTCTTGTCTGCCCATCTTGATTATATTCTTCTTGTTCGTCAATTTCAGAGCCAAGGCCTGGTGACAATGCACGGATGATATTCATTCCACTGGTTGGACTGATGGCTCCTTGCCTCATATTTCCCCCAAGATTAGGACGAGCAGGAATAGTGCTAATATTATTAATAACTATCTGAGTGTGATTACGATCCAATTGATTAGTGTTTCTTCTGTTATTAGGACTAACTATGGAAAATTTAGGCTCTGGTCTTTCAAATGTGGTCCCCAGTTTAGTAAAGTTTGATTTTGTCTCCTCCTTTGGATTTTTCAATGCACTATTCTTCTTGGAGCCGTTGTTCTTCTTATTAGGATAACTACCTTGGTCTTTGTAGACAGGGTTTGGAGGAATTTGTTCAACAGGATTATAATTCATATAATTAATTTGTCCTTTGTTTCTATTAGAATAGGAATTTGGTGACTGGAGACGAGAGCCTGCATTTTTCGAATTCCTTTTTATCATTTCTTGTACTGAGTCATAGTCTTCGCTGTCGTCTGAATTATTCCTCCCTATCATAGGTGGAGGAGAGAATGCTTTAATCTCTTCCTTTGAGACTCTGAATGGCCTCAGGCCAAGGTCTTTTCCACCTGAGTTATTTGATACATTATTAGAGTTCTTAGACCTGTGGGAAGAATTCGAACCATCCATTTGTCCAGGAGCTGTGAACGTCATATTCACATTTTTCCTGGATCTAGAGTTTTTCTTCGATACCTTCCTCTTCTCCTCTATATTTTTCTTTTTAAAAATTCTTTTCGGATTGATAGTTGGCCTAGATCAGATTTTAGGTGATTATTTAGATTTTGGGATATTTTAATTATGTGCATGATCTATTTTGACTTGAGAACTTACCGAAAGGGCCTTATCCCTGAAATGTCGCTCATATTATAAATATTATATTAAAGCTTTGTGAAATAGACTGGGGTTTTGGGGTTTTGGGGTTTTGGGGTTTTGGGGTTTTGGGG